ACGTCGAGCTGTTGCTATCAAACTAGCAATATCATGGTCTTGTAGTACTTAAGTCAAAAATCTTTACAAAGAGTCAGTCTGAAATGACCTGTAACTATATTCTATGTGTACATCATATCAAATATCATGTGATACCATATCATATCATATACTTCCGCAATACAATCCGAATTACTATCTCATTTCTAATTGTTTATTAAACCATGCACCATGTTTGTGTCTCACTACCTTTTAACAGGTGGACATTGTCGTCGTTTATTGCTTTATGATGATCATTATAGATTGTCATTGGCATGCATCTAGCTCTTAATTCACTGAAATGCAACTTCCGATGTATTGGAGTGATGAAAAAAAGAATTTGATGTTAAATGGATGAGTTGGTTGAATGATGGAACAATTGAATTATGAGAATAGGATTATATGGAATGAAATTAAAGGGGAATGAAGAGAGAAGAAGTACTCATCGATGGCGAGTGAAAGGTGAGGAAGAGTAACGTAAAACTTGAAGTGAATGGTGATAATGAATATTATTTATAAATGCACTGATTCGGAATTGAATACGTTCCACTTACAATAAAAAATACTTGTTTGGAGTGATGATGGTCATAGTTGCATGGTATGGTCATGTCATGGAATTATTCGAATTTTAAAGTATGAGAGGAGAGTTTGATCGTTTGATGCGTGTTGAATGCAACCATAAAGTGCATTTCACATTCTATTATAATTTTAAATCAGAATTGTAGTTGTATATGATTGATGTTGTTTTATATGAAAGGTGGATGTAGGTATTCTGATATGCTCCTGAGATTTGGTTATCATTTTGATAAAGACTTCTGATAAGGTTGATTGCTCCTCAGATTTGGTCATTACTCGGAAAATATGTTGCGCGTTGTGCAGAGAAAATAGAGCGTGGACGTTTATATGTCGTTGATGGAATGTAAATGATACGTATTACTTGTTCCGTCTGTAATTAGGTGATAAGAATTTTGGGATTCGAAGACAGTTGCTCATTGTAAATACGTTTGATGATAGCAGGTCATGGGAAGAAGTGAATCTTGAGGTTTATGGGACAAATTCATTGCTGAGTTTAATATCACAGAATTGTTTGAAGTATGCCCGCGTCTATCTTCAATGCTAATGAATAGGATGACGATTCGTTCGGATACTATGACGCTTTCATTTAATCATATTCGAGTGTCATTGAAATTGTATGAGTTTTGGTTTTAGTGTGATTCTTCGTATGATCATTGAAGCGGGATAGTGAGCGCATTCCACATATGATTTGATATTGTCCTTATTCATTTCTGTGAATTACTTTTCGCATATAAATAAACTTTTTAGTTGATGGACATTTTGAAAATATTATGCGTTTTCTTGAAAATAGGAAAAATATTAAATTTGAAAAATTGGAAAGAAACGAAAAGGTGGTTATGAGAGTGGGAGAAGGGAGTTATAGATTTAGAACGCGGATGAGCAGAGTTGGGGATACAAATGGACATTATCAAAATGAAGTTGAATGGAACTTGTTTTGAAAGTAGTCGTTGTGTTTTTTAACTAGTTTTTTGAAGGTGGTTTTTGATGTGGTGAGTTAGTTGTGGGGTTGGGTTGTAATAGAAGAATGAAAGTAATCCTCAGAAAGTACTTCTTGGGAATGATGGGGTTTGATGATTGTAGTTTGGGAAGAAGGAAGAGATTTAGTGAAAGAATGGTAGTGAAGTGTTCAGTTGATGTTTGATGATGATAGAGTGTCCGTGAGTTGGGTAGCTAAAGAAATTCGGAAGTGGATTCAAGTCTGGTGAGGTGTGAAAGGACAATAGAATGGTGTCAGCAGTGAGCTGTCGACGAGCTGATATCTGCTGCCCTGCTTGGTCTGGCGACACAAACGGTATCTCATACTACTGCTTCATTTTATAACCACTTCTATCCAGAGCAATCCCATATCCTGTTTAATCTCTATCTCTATATGTTCCCTAGCTTACTGCATAAAAAGTTTCGTGATAACGGCAGTTTTTCCCTTTTGTCTTCATACGCGTTTGTATATATCCATCTTACCGTCTTTAATCAAATACTAAGATCTCTGTTTCTTACCAGATGTACACATTTCTCTGAAGTGCATTCGATATCGAGAAATGTTTTGCAAAGTTCATAAGGGTAAGTTGTTTGCAGTACAATCAGTTCAACGCTACTGCTTAGAGTTTCTGATGATGTTCAATTCCACTCTGCATTATCATCAACCAACCGTCCATCTCCATCAGCTGTATGCTACTCGAGCAAAGATAATGTCTTCTCGATGCTAAAATTCGTATTTTATCAGCACTACTAGTCCCATCCCGACTCAGTTATTTTTCTCCTTCATTTTCTCAACGATCGCTTCCATCTACTTCCCTTGTAGTTAGCCATTAGAACTGCTGCCAGCTAGTGCTGTATACACTGATGAGTCTTCATGCAGATAACAGAAAAAGGGATGTAAAAGATATCTGTTTATCTGTGCATGTCTTAATCAGTGACCTATCTAGCCGTTTCAGTGCAATTTAGAAGAATGCAGCGTGCTGCCAAGCGTAAGCCTAAGCCTCCAACTGTCCTTCCTTTAACTTATAACTAAGCGATTTCTACTTCACCTTTCTTTACATAACTCTACCCTTTTACTTCACTTTCCACATTACGATACTGATCATCCTCCAGTCCATCATCCTTCTGTTCTTTGTTGCTTTCGATTGATGTTATCAAATACTGATCAGATCATCTCGTATCCGGTCTCATTCCACTCCTCTTGAATCAATGAAATTCACTCTTAAATAACAATAATGATTTACAAAAACAAATGCTGAACGAATGAAACAATAGTGAATTGTTTCGTGAACTTAATATTACTGCTTTCATTGTGCTTGCTTGGACACATCCCATTCAGTTATCATATTCATATCCTATTCTATTCCATTATCTTTTCATTACCTTATTCGTAAAACTGTTTCTTTCGTTATCTCTCTAAATTCATTTCATCTTCAATTGTTCGCCAAATCAAACCAAGTTTAAAAATGCATTCATTTCATGTTGTTACCAATAATACCACGAGGAAGTAATAACTCGGAGGAGTGATAAACGGAACATGCACATGCTCATGAGTAATCACCAAATTGCAACTCATTTATGCAATCTGCACATTTAATCTCGAATTTGTTCATTTCTTGACGTCCTCTCAGTGCTTGTGAATATGCTCACTCGAATTCGAACGGCAATGCAATATTCGGTTTTACTTTCAATCTTGCAGTTATCTTTAACTTTATCATTACTCATCAGTGCTGCTTAAAAACAGCACTTTTTTGATCAGCATTTTTCTTTGGCCGATTCTTTCATGAAAAACTTATTAATTCTTATTTGTCATTTTCATCACTTTTCTTCCATTTATCCATCACATCTCATGAAAATCTTTACAGTTTTCAATACTCGTTGTGCAAGAATTTCAAAATTCTCTATTTTTGTTCTCATTCCCTCTCATGTCAATTATTCATTTTTTTTAAATGAATAACAAATTTATTCGCTAAAAATTTCGCAGTCAACATCTCAATACTTCTCAGAAATGTTATACGTGTGAAAATATTTTTGTTTGTGAGTTCACTTCGTCAAGTGAATTGATTAAACACAAATTGAAAACCGTTAGAATGTTGAAAATACAAGACTGCACTGACTAAGAAAATGACAAGTTGAATGAGAAGTGTTATTCGTGATATACTTGCGATGAACTTACATTCTTCAGCGATCCCATTCAGCAAACACATTTGTATTTGCACACTCATCATTAAAAAATACGAACAAGCGAGGAGCATACAGCATAGCAAACCGAATATATTGCATCTCGAATTGAGTTTGCAGCTTTTGGGAATAATACTTATGGGAATAATGGAGTATGCTTTGTGCACATTTCTCTGATTCACGTCCTTCATTCCGTGAATCATTGTGCCAATCATTCTTTCATTTAAAGTCGATCTGAACTTCAAGGAACATGTTGCTATCATGCTAACTGTCCATCAGCAATACTTAATTTGCTTTTCGAAACCGTTACTTTTCATAGCTGTTGTCATTTCAGTGTCAAAGGTCTGATTGCTCACTTAAAGCAGGGTTTCTCAGCGGGGGGTGCATGCACCCCCAGTGAGTGCGAGATGACATGTCAGGGGGTGCGAGATAAGGTTTCATTTTTCATACATTAAAATAGGCGAGGACGGAATTCAGCGCATACAGGGGTGTAAATAGGCAATACTTCAAAAATAATTCTTTCGGTCGCGTTTCATTCTTAAACAAACTATTGTTGTAGGGGGTGCGAAGGCATCTAAAAATTTTCTAGGGGGTGCGGGGGACAAAAAAGGTTGAGAACCACTGGCCTAAGGGGTAGGACTGATCCGTTGAGAGGCTCATGTGCTCGATTCTTGATAAAGTGTGATAACTGGTGATGAGTAGTGGATTGAACTGAATTCAGTTCTAGTGAGTTGAGTGTTGTTAGTGCATCAGAGTTGGCATTTCATTCTGCAACACCGTGAGATTATATTCATTTCTTGAATATTTACGACTAGAAGTTTCATTGAAAGTTCTAGTCGTTAATCGCTTTAAATTTTCTAGTTACCTCAAAATCGTTTAAAAATCGATACACTTCCTTTTGCAGTGCCTCATTGATTTTCGATCTGTTACGATGTAACGAGATTTAGGATAGATTCTGTCTTATTACATTCAGTGCTGTTACTACATCCGTTGACTGGCTCGTGAATGCGATCGATCATTAAGAAACTGAAGAGATCATTCCGTTAAATCATAAATATTTCAGGTGCTGAATGGAGATATGGCAAAATGGTGAAATTGAAGTAAATGCAAGCATTTCGTTAGCAGCATCAATCTCTCAGTTCATCGCATCAACGAGAACAATCCATTCTTTATCTCATCATTAAAAGTCCCATTAAAAGTTCATTCGATCATCGCTCCGTCAGTGGTTCTTCTCATCATTCCGTCAAGTAATGTCGCATTATGAACTGGGTTCAGCACCCGATCAAACCACAACTGCTATCAAGTGGCCACATGATTCGTTAGCCGCACATCTTGCCGTTGGTGTCGGTTCTACTGCAGCGGTATAATTTTGATTAATTGCGTTCCATTCATAATGATTTCAATGAATACATACTAATCATCATTCTCTCCTAACCTCTCTGTAAATCATACGAATTTTTATCATCAACAGCATCACTACAAACACCTAACGAACTCATTCTGTGAACTTTGATGTAATTCATCTCTTCGTTCTTAACTGGAAATCTCTTAATTTGTTCGTTCATTTTCTCGCTAAATACTCATTCCGTTAGGTGCAACATAAACAGTAGTGCAGTGATTCAGCAACTCCAACAACTCATCTTAACAAATCCAGTGCACACTTGAATAAGTCGACTGAATTAAAACCGTGCAGCTATAGTATTTAACGCAAAATGCATTTTGCTTTGCTTCTATAAACCATCCTTGCACTATCATATTCAATTTTGTTCTCGCATAGTACTGACGTCCATTCATCTGCATACTGTCACCACGTTGATCCTATCCATCCGAAAATATCATCATGCTCACTTCTGTCTACTCATCGTGCGTGCCTTAGTAGGTGTGGGCTTACAATAACAATAGCGCTGAAAAAATTTATCTTTCATCTGTTAATCGTTAAATGTTCTGCAGCTTAATAGATCATTGTAAAACTGTTGCGATGAACTGAATTTGTTTTAATATTCTTTATCAGTGCCTTCTTATCAGTCATTGATTGATATGATAAAAGAACAGTTGATCAGCTTGACTTATTTCTCACATGTTATTTGAATCTTTTCAGAAGTGTTAACGCAAACACTAAACGTTCATTGCCTACTTTCAGCGATATTCGGATTCTGGATCTCCTGGTGGTTTCGCGCCGTTAACGCATAATCACAGTGGATCAGCAGCAGCAACACTGCGTATTCCATCTCTAGCAGCATCGTATTCAAATAATAATAGTATGGGTGGCAGTGTATATAATCGATTCTTACCTGCACTTCAACCTCAACCTCAGCCTCAGCCTGGTCTTGTCACTGCGCCATCCACTCAGCAACAATCTGATGCAGCACAAAAGTTATTTGCACAGCTCACTAATTCAGCAAATACAACCACTACTCAACACCTGTCACAGTTCGTTAATCAACAACATCATCTTTATATGGCTGCAGCAGCTGAAGAAGCCAAATTATTAGATTCATCGCAGAAATTAATTCAAGATTGGCGTGATAGAACTAGCAAGTTAGCTGTAACAACCAAACCCATTTCGAATGCGACTGGTGCTGACCAATTATGGCTTGATGAGCAAAAAACGAATCTGGTGCACCAGTTAGCACAACCATACCAAAAACATCTAATACAGCAACGATTAACTGCTACCACCCCACCAAATATCACCACATCTCCACCATTCATCCCTCAACCCCAACCCCCAGCCCATTCTCCAGTTCGATCTTCACATTCATCAACACCCAGCCTGCTGACCCCTTCCGCGTCGCAACAGCAACAACTAGCAACCGTTCAACAACACCAAAGTGCTGCAGCTCTTGTAACGGCTGCTGCATCACTTCTGTCAACAGATGAGCGGATTGGTACAAACCTTTCAACTTCGAATACCACTCTTGTTGAAACGTCTCGTATCTCAATTCCTGATTCCACCACCACTGGCACCTTGATTGATGGCGCAAAGAATGGTGGTGCTTTTACGTCGTTTAAGCATACTTCTTCATCAGTCATCATGCAATCACATTCAAGTAAGGGCGATGCTGAGAGAGACGATATTATGGAGATGAATGATCAGATGAATGGTGTTGAGCATGGTGCACAAATTGAAGATGCACCGATGAAGGAGGTTGATTCAGAATATGCTGAGCTAATGTGTGGAGGGTCGAGCTCGGTGGGCAGTAGTACAAAGAGTGATATGGATATACTCGATGAAGAGACACACGTTGCATCGTCTTCAAATTCATCGTCGAGTAGTAATACGATCAAAGATGGATCGAATCAGAATGTTCTCAACCAAAAGGGTGATAAGGAACTGCTTCTTCATGCTCTCAGCAATCAACAGCAATTACGATCTGTCCTTGATTACGGTTTGTTTACGTTCAGCAACCCAAATGTATCTGTGATATCTTTATGAAAATTTATTTTATGGTGAACTGTTGAAGATGTTGACGAGAATAATGGTGACGATACTATGAGAACAGCAGTAGCACAACAAAACGAGCATCAGATAAAAGGTGAGAAGGTGATCGATGAGTGGACAGATGAGGTCAAACGTCGTCCTTCAACTGATACTACTTATATTATCAGCAACGGTACAACTCAACCAAAAGAGGAGGACTCGAACTCACCGAGGTATCTATTGTTTATCAATTTTATTACCTCACTTTCAACTAATCCTTTGAATTAATGACGTCATCAATCCAATCGTCTTAAATCACCATCTCTCAGTTTATTTGGTAATTGAATTGCGCGGTACCGTATCACTGCATAACAGTTATTTGATAAATAATATATTAAAGATGTAAAAATTAGAGAAGATTGTAGATAGAGAAATATAACTTTTATAGAAGTGGATGATGAAGATATGGTTCATAATTGTGTTTAGTATGAAGGAAAGAGTTGTCATCGATAATATTAAGAAAGGATGGATAATAAGAAAATAGTAAGAAAGGACGAGAGTAGCTGCGAAGAAATTGTGGTTTGAAGGTGAGAGGAAATAAACTTTTGGTATTGCAATAGGACAATCGAATAGACTTGTGATAAGCGTATATTATGTCACGATAAACACTCTGTGGTTGAGATTATGAGTGCATGATATGTATAAGATCATGAATGTTGTTTATGAACACTATTGAACATTACATTCGGAGAAGCACTTCAGAGGATGGGGATTGAGCATGAGACAAATGAAATGTGTATGTTTGTGTGAATAACAAATTGAAAAGTGGAACTTTGGACTTGGATGAATGGTTTTCTGGTGGGGTATTCATTGGTTTTTTATTCAAGAGTGAGGTTGAGATTGAGGGATAAGAGAATATCGAGTGAGTGGTTGAAGAGGTAATTAGGATAGTTATGAGGGTTGTTGCAGTATGCATGATATGATATGATACGAGTAGGAACGAGGAAATAAATCGTAAAGACGTTGATTCGTGAATACGAGAAGCAAATACTTCAACTCACAGATCCACACGCCTGTTACGAGTACTCTTTGCCATCATTACTGCGCGTTCTCCACAGCAGTTTAATTCATCAGAATGTTGAATGATCGAGTAATCCATCTAGTGACAAGATCAACGAATTTTTTTGTGTATCCTAAGCAAGTAGTGCTTTGATGAACGCGAGCAGAATCAGTTTTTTTTTAGTTAGAATTTGTTCTTCGATACCCGTTCTTCGATTTCATAATATTCATAACTGATTCGGTATTTGTTTCGTTTCGATGGAGATCAATTGAATAGCAGTGAAACAGATGTGATATGAAAATGAGTGGTGTGCACATGAAATTGACATCATATGAATCTCGATTATGTTAGATATTGTAATGAGAATAGCGCACGATGACGACCGCCATATATTTTACAAGTTCAATAACAAAGAACAACTCGGTTCGTTTATGTTCAGTTCTAAACAACCATATAACGATCAAAAGCTGCAGCTACTAAACACTCGTCATTTCTGAGCACAATGGCTATTTGATGATTGTTCAAGTTCATTAAAATTGATACAGCATTCTTACAGCATGCACCATCAAATCGAACATATTTCTATGAATATCCATATCTGTGAATCTAAATGTCACCCAGCAAACTGTCGGTAAAAAGAGAGTATAGGAATAAGTAGAAGTATTGTCACTATCAGCATCACCGCCATCCCCCTCCTTATCACCAAAACATAGCATACCGTTGATCAATACATCACATAAATAAGTTCATCTCTATCAATTCATTACTGTATCCAATACCCAGCAAACTCCATTCAACTAATCGTAAGCCGTTCGTTCTATTTCATCTAATCCCATTTCTCATATGACATCATATTCATCCATCTAAAATGTGTTCGATGTGATAGTAAAAAGTATTTTGTAATACTGATGATGTAGTTGGATGTATAATACGATGTGATCTTTGTTGTGGGTTATTAATGAAGTATGGATAAGGGAATGATCCATCTTCCAAGTGAATATTGATTTGAGTGAAGGTGCATTACTACGTTATCATTATCATTTAGACATCATGCATTTATAGCTAGTGGTTCGTTGATGTAGTTTGTGGATGTGTTTTGATGAGGGAAGCTGAGAAGGGACCGATGTCATTTCGTTGTTTAGTTGGTTGGAGGGGTGGATGGATGGATCAATGGTTTAATAGTGTGAAAAAGATGACGAAAAAATGGTATTTCGATGAAGGAATGAGGAAGGTGGGGCGAGAAGAGGGAGCTAGGAAAACGAGAAGGAAGTTCATAACGGACGAAAGAAGCTTGTGAATCATTAAAAGTCAGAGTTGTTTGTTTTCTCGAATGTCTTTCACATACTCTCTCTATTAGTTATGCATGCTAGTTGCTTATATTCTCTGTTTGTATGCATGCTCAAGTATGATCAAAAACAAATGTACATATATAACAAACTCGTACAGCGTGTTAAAATTGTAAATGTAGTATAAGCAGTAATAGCAAAAACTAGTGGGAATGGAATAGTGCTGCGTGATGCTAGTTAGTTTTGGTTGATAGCTGTTGCTGCTGTTACTGCTGCCGTTGACGTTGGTGTTATTGAAGAGAAGCACAAAGAACCAACGAACGAAGCAAGCGAGCAATGAAGCAACACCATTTATTTGCCATCATAACACAAAGTGCAAATCGCTTGCTCTACACACAGCAATATCTAAACGCACATATCACTATATCATATCTGATTCATAGTAAATCTATAGAAAAAAAGTTATTTGAATAGTTGAAAAAGTGATAGTAGTGATAGCGATTGGTGAGCGAACGAGCGATAAGAAGGAGGAGGCGATTTTCGGTGATGTTGCTGCATCGGACAACGATCGCAAACAGCCTAGCAACTCGTCGATTCAGTCGCACTCTTCGCTCCATTCTAGTCATATTATCACCATCATATCATTTATCTTTCTTCATCTCGATTTATCATTCTCGTCCTATCCTTCCATCACTCACACTACTAATAATCTTTGTCAAATCCTCATATCAAATAAGCCTATTGCACTCGCACCACACCTCTGTCGTTCCATATCACCTTTCATTCCATTCAACAATTTGATTATTTCAAAGATGACCCATCTTCACTCATTGTAACATCGTTTAATTCGATTTCATATTCAGTTATTTCGTCGTCTTTAACCACATCACTCTCCATTCCTCATCGGTACATTCTCTGCTCCCCCTTATAAGAAAATGATCTTTCATCTCCATGTCACTTTTTCCAACTTTTCATCTCTTCAATGATTTCAAAGTTCGTGATTTCTTCAAAGTATGCTTGCTTCGTTGTTATGCATCGTTTCAACTCCATGTTATTTGTGCAAACATCATAACATTGTCACGATGTTTTTATTATTGTCATCTTCATTAGATTAACTCATCCACCCAATAAAAAACCAATTTTCTTTTAACTCACCATAAACAAAACTAAGTATTTGTTTCTTTTCTACCGTTCCTTTCCCCTTTCAATCTCTCTATACGGTATCAATATTCCCTCTTCAAATCTCCGAATCCAATCAAACCCAATACAAAATAATTCTATTCGTAGTCTGCACTTTACCGTATTTTATTACGTCACTTTCGATTTATAACGTGTTCACAATACTCGGTTATGCTATTTCTATGATTCCTCTCAACTTGATGCTCTTCTCTCAACTCATTTTTCCTCGCTCCCTCGACTATCTCTTTTTTATTCTTATTTTTTCTATTCTCTCCCGATGGATCGTAAACATTCATCTAATATCGTCAACAATTGACCAATACGCTGGGAGATTGTTTGTTTGCTAGTCTCTCTATATTCATCGCACTCTCCCTTTCACTTTCTCCACTCTTTTCTCTAGCACCTCCCCGTTCCTCATTCATTTTTTCTTTGCCCTTTCCCAACTTCATTGTCCTTAACGAAAAATTTTTTACCGTTTCCAAGATGATGATGAACATTAAAGAGCGTTGTACCATTGTGAGTGTTTGTGAATGAATGAAAGTTTCATGATTAATGATTCTGTATTGAATAATAGTACAAATCATTGCAGTCACTTTATTACAATCAATTTGTTGTGTATGGAAACAGTTTATTATATATTTGTTGTCATTTGAATGATTCGTTGCTGTGGTTGGGTTTAGAGGTAAGATGCGGTGAGGTGAGGCGAGATGAGGTGAGGTGATTCAGTCATTCGGTCGAATGTTGCTGCAAACCAAGAGTGTTATTTTGTTCATTAGACTTCGATTATTTCTAAACGAAACCTGAACTCGGCTCATGTAGTTTTTTGGTATTTTAAATCCGTTCGAACGCATCTCTCATCCTCTTGCAGCAACTACCTATCATCATCCTTTCATTTTTCATATCATGTCCCTTTTTCGCGCATCCAATTTCTCCTCGTCACCACCGAATTTCGTTCTCCCGTAAATCAGAGATCACTTTCTCTTTATCTCTACATCTCTCTTTGTATGCTGCCAGCAATAAATACGAACAAAGATAAGTCTGAAACTGTTGACTTCAAGTTCAAGCTCAGCTTGATATTTATTGCTTGTATCTCTAGCTCGCAAATATTTTTTAAAAATTAATTAGTGATTACTTCATGTTGTTTTCTTTTGCATTCCACTGCTTCATAGTCAAAGATAAAAGTGGTTGAAGTGAATCACTAAACGAAAGATGTTGGTGATTTTGAAATTGATGTGGATGATAGTGTTAGGATGAGAATGAGGGAGGAAAGGGGATAGAAGAGACATATGGATGGGTTGGAAATGGAACGATGAGAATATGGTGATCTTATTCGTTGTTTATTTGAATGCTTGATGGTTTGGGTCGAGGTGAGGTGATATTTTATTTCATGAATTATGTCTTTATGAATGTGTTCATTTAGGAGGGAGTCAGACTTCAGGGGCATGACACATCACTGATTATGGTGTTTTTGATAAGGTTCAAGGGAATGAGATAGCAGGGTGTAGTGGTCAATATTAGGATGTTGTACAAGTGGATGGATTCATTCAGTGGTTATTTTAAGTGAGTAAACTGTTTTTATCAAAAGTTGTTATGATGATGAAGTTCGCTTTTGATTATTTACATTGTTGGATTAGGGTGTTGGTCGCATGACAAGCTCACTTACCACAAGTCATGTTGCTCTTTTTTATAAAATGATAAAGCTGTTGACGACAAAAAGAAACACGTATCAAACTGCAAAGTACATTGCGTTGTCCAGTGCATCCCAGCAAGTTGAAGCACCGAATTAAAATTTTGTTTATTTGCAGTTGATCATTGATGTGGAATGAATGTAAATTAATTTTTGTGTAAGATTGATATATGGATCACGAATTGAAGTTATCATAAATGTTCAATTCAGTCCTTTCATTATCTCGAATTGTCAAAGAATGGCCCCTCATCTGTCACAAAGTCACCCGCCTCCCTAACCCACCAACGAACATCCCATCAGTCGGCTCGAATGAATCTGCTGAAGCCAAGCCAAGTTCATTCTCGAATGGATTGCTGAAACGGTTGTTGCTTCTATATAATAGTGCAATCATTCCTTTATTGCACCAAATCGATACACTTTTGTTGTCTATTCATTAGCAAATATCACAAATTAGAACAAAATCAGTCCTACCATCTCACCTCTTACTTCTCTCCTCTCCTCATGTCCTCTTCTTATATTCAACATCCCTTTTATTTATCGAATCAATCACTTCAAGAAACCGACTATCTTCATTAGATCTACATTGTTATCATTATCAATATTGCTGTAAAAATGATATGACATCTCATCAATTATTTACCTGATTGTGCGTTTCTTCATACCAGCTATTCAACATGATAATGCTATTCGCAGATGCTTATTCCTTGAGTTCGTTCTCTTTTTTCTTTTTCATTCACACATTACAACCTCTCAGATCCGGATCCCACATCCGTCATCCCTCCTCCCTCTCTCTCAGCTCAAATTTGGTATCACTGCTTTTTCTCTGTCACCTTAAATGTTCCATCATTATTTAAGAGTGTTCACTTAATTGTGTTGTTGAAATCCCGTTAGCGATGACAAGTTCTGAGGTGAGGCGGAATGGAAGAGAAGAGAGTAAAGAAATAATGAGGATTGGATTGGAGATGCCGCCATTACATAAGCGTTACTCTTGTTTATTGCTTCATGCATGTATCATCGGTATGCATCTATTCGTGTACTTTTGTGGATGTATCGATGTATGATTATTTATTTCTTGTGTGAAAGAGATAAGTTAAAGTGTTTTTGAGTTGTACGATAAACTAGAAACAGAACATGATGAGCGAATGGTAGAGTTTGGTTATTGTTTTTTTTGTCGATTTGTTGTTTGAGATGGTCATTGCTTGTTTTGGAGTGAGAAATCTGAATGGATCCATACATGGGCTAAATTGATCGATTATCAATGGTTTGATTAATGAATTGATAATGAAGGATGTAGTTTTGAGTATGCCTTTCGGCCAATTTAGACGAATGAACAATGAAATGAGGCACTAATTAATGATTTTTCGATACAAAATGTATTTGATGAATATTTCGATCATTCAAGCAGTGCATGATAAAAATAAGTTGTGTTTATGAAGGGCAAAATGCATGCAACTGTGGATAGCATTTCATGGATGATGGGTAGTGCATCACCATCTTTCCTTGTACCTTCGTCCAAAAAAGACGTCACTCAAATGACATCGTTAAGTGATAGTAATAATAACAGTGAAAATAATACTAAATAATGGTAATAAAAATGATCAGCGATACATCATGTTCATTGCTTCAATACCAGTCCAATAACAACATAAATTGAAAAAGTATCATTTACATATCCAAGCATATTGCTTTTGTGGTAATTTAAGAGTAGTTCGTTTAATGGTTATTTGTAATTGAATCAGTACGGTTTGAATCAGCTCAAGTGGTTTAATATACGATATGATATACCTAAACTGATAATATCAATTCAAAAATGCCTTATTTCAGCAGTCTCCTATTGAACCTCTCACAACAGCAACAACGAGAATCAGTCAAGAATTTATCGTCATCACCAATCAAGACTGAAACTAGTGATAGTGACATCAATAACAATAATAATTTGAATATTGGTGTTGATAAGCAGCACCACAATCAGATTGTAACTACCTTGGCAGAGTGTCATCGCATCGAAGAAGAACCCCTTCTCAGCGAGAAACTTCCCACCTCGTGCTCAGTTGCCACTCCGAACTCGTGTACGAATTCGACCAGTTCGGTGATCAGTACCACTTCTAACTCCCCGCCTCGATCCACACCTCACTCGCAGCCCCCTCTCTCTATCAGTCCTATCTTGGCTGAAATAACCACTTCAACACCGCCAACCGGATCCTTCTGTCGTGCCCCAGGTCTCGGCCCACTCCCTATTCCCGATCTCCTTAACTCGTCCTCGTCATCGTCATCTCAATTACCGTTAGTGTGTGCAATATGTGGCTTCTCATGCAACTCCAAGTTCCATTACAATTCACATATGAATACACATGGCGATCATCAATGTACGATGTGTGATTATACGTCTCGAACAGAGGGTCGTTTGAAGAAGCATATGCGTGATTCACATACCATTCAAGAGCAGATGGCTGCAGGACTTGATGTTGAGATTATCGCATCTTCCTCTCAACTGTTCAGCAGCTCGTCGACCAGCTTGGCGTCAAACACCCAACTTGGCACAACTATGACTTCTGTGCTCGAAGCAGCTAACCTTGCAGCCGCAACCCAACTCGCCGCTGCAATGCATGCTGCCTCATCCTCCAGTAGCACCTCACCCAATTATACCTCCACCCCTCCATCCTCTACTTCCGATGATCATCAAACTGCTATTACTTCATCTGCTTCTCATTCCCTTCTCCCATCAGCCCTCGATCAAATCCGAGCATTCACCGAAAATCCGAGCATTTTACCTGATCTCTCGTCGACCAATCTTGCCTCAGCCCTGATGTCCCATGGTCTTCTTGGGACTGCACCCCCCATCTCAGAAGCATCTACATCATCCCCTACCGAAGAGCAACAAGCATCAGCAAGTTATTCTCTCACCATCAGCGGGTCTTCTTCAGAACGTCGAAGCAGTGGCAGTAAGCCGAAGACGTATAAGTGTAAGCAGTGTAGTCACGTGAGTGCATCGAAAGAAGATCAGTGGGTTCATGCGCGAACTCATATTCCTGTTGAGAAGCAGTTGGGTTGTACGCGGTGTGGCTTTGTTACTGAATATAAACATCACTTGGTCAGTTATGTGACTGATTCTCTTCATTTTTATTCCTCTCCACATTACGATGTGGCAATGAATGGTCATAGTTCATAACTTTCAGGAGTACCACCTTCGGAATCATATGGGATCTAAGCCGTTTCACTGCAAGAAGTGTGCATATTCATGTGTGAACAAGTCGATGTTGAATTCTCATATGAAGTCGCATACGAATGTGTATCAGTTCCGTTGTCGTGATTGCACTTACGCCACCAAATACTGTCATTCTCTCAAATTACATCTCAAAAAATACAATCATACTCGTGCTGGTGACGCGAATGATTCCACTGTCATTAATGGTCACCACAATACGGGTCCGTACCACTTTCAGAGCCATTCATATAGTTTTCACCGTAGTCAATTACTTTTATCATATCATCTAAAAAGTTATCCTCGACACTATCGCTCATCATCATATATTTGTATGTCTGGCTCAAAACATTAATCGATGAATAGTGTGATCAACTGAGAACTAAGAAACAATTCGTTGTTGTGCCAATCTTGTCGATAACACTTTATTTTTCAATCACATCGCTCACAAAATAACTTTATTTTGTTTTGTTTTTTTAACTCAACATTTTCATCCAGAAATACACTATTCTTGATTATTTTAATTCAGTTTATGGATTACTGTCCCCATAAACACCCTTCACACTGTTCAACTGTAGCTAGTGTACCGTCGTGAAATAAGCATTTGTGTACCGCCTTAGAATATTGATTTTGTAAGCAAACAAAAATATTTTACCGAAATTCATCAAAAAGTGGAAGTGACTAAGGTTGCTTAAATCACAAGATGAAGTAATTGCCGTGATCTACGGTAGACTTTCAGTATCACCATTCGAATCTGCTAATGAGAGCGACTCGTTGAGACGTTTAAGTGAATCGTACAGCATGAACGGCGCTGATGAAGATACCAGCCCTAGACCTACTTCTACAATACCGACCGCCCAGCAATCTCTTGCAAATAGTACGGCTATGAATCTCAATCCGATGGTCACTTCAAGTTCGTTGAATCTGGCATCGCAGTTGTTATTGCGACAACACCAGGTTTGCTCTCCTGTTAGATTATGAATGTAAATAGGAGTATGGATATGAGCGTTCAGTATGCTCTCTTTGGTTGATTCATTCGTGTTAATTGCTGCGTTACATTGATTTCAAGGGAAGGGAAGTGCAAACAGATTGTGTTTGTGATTGCAAGAATTTTAGGATGAGTATCATCCACATCATCGTCCTTCATACTACAGCCAGTTTTTTGGGTTTTGCGATGAAGTTTTTTGAACGAAGTTTGGCGTGACCATATTATAACAGTAATGCAAGGGACATTTAATTACTGTTTTAAGTCTATATTCATTCAGTATCCTCAGTCATTTTACCCTTCATCTCTTAGCGATTGCTGTCGTACAGTTTTTCAAAAGCTCTTCGCAAGAAAAGAAGTGAAGAAATAACTTTACAATATATCTTATTGTTAGTTATTTTAACAGGCTGTTCCTTTAAATTTTGCCTTGTGTCGTCATCGTGTGCAACAGCAATCATTCAACTTTTCTTCTTCAATCATTTCACCTCCCACTGAACAGAACAGAGATCAGATCAACTCGAATTGATTGATTACTTTGATCTGTTGATCAGTTGATCGCTTTTTTGTCGCTTACATCTCAAGTTTGCACTTATCTTTGAAAACACTGCATTCAAAGAGTTGATTCTTTAGAAAGAAATGCGCAATAAAGACAACAGAGATAAGATAAGATAGGTAGCAATCCATGATATGTATCAATAAAAGCATGATTTATTCAGCTAGAGCAAATGGATGTAGTGATGCGAATGAACGGTCTGTCGGGTGGCATAACCCCTTCAGCTATGTTGCCGAATGTCTCGTCGACAACCACAAACAGCCCTGCAGCAGTATCTCGATGTGCTCTCTGCAACTATCAAGCTCTGAATGAAGAAGATAACCTGCGACATCAAATGACTCATCTGATAGCCCACCAAGCTGATCCAGCTGCTACTGCTGCTTCTCTCTACAATTCTATCGCATCTATTCAAAACTGCAATAATCAACCACTCACGACGACCTCACCTCGGTATGTCCTATCCAGCATCTCTAATATTCCTCAGAAATTAGTGCGTGATCAGTGATGATCAGTTCGTTAATTGTTCATCCTTTACACAATCGATATCAACTATTGATTGCTAATGATCTGTAGCATCACAGTCAAAACTTTCACTGTCATCTGTTTCGTGGTGATGCATCAAATAATTTTGTGGTAATGCATAACAGACTGTTTCCATCCCTCTGCTCATGTCAGTTATTGCCTTATACCATATGCACCCATCACTCCTTTCAGTGAACATGATTATATCATTTTCATTTTAAAAATTCACTAGCATTAATAATAACTGGAATAATAATGATAATAAGAATGCAGTGAGTATACATGTCCAAACAGTATAATATAAATGATCATCAATATAGTATATAACTGTTTAACAGTATTAATTTGCATATAGCAGTAATATTAATGATAATAGTGTATAAGTGAAGCTGAATGGTGTAATGCATATGATGTTTGAAATTATGATCAATGTTCATGGTTGATTGATATTCATTGAATTAATGACGCTTGTATGAACGAATGAACACAGTTGCGCCTCTCTTTTGAGGGCTTCAGCCGGAAGTTGAGTTAATTCGCAAATCATTGGTGACTAAAATTGTTCACTAATACTTTCAAAGTGCTTGTTCAGTCACAAAACAAATGGTAAATTAAACACATTTCTGATGTACCATTGTATCAACTTCTTGATTTTTTCTCGAATTTGTCGCTGATTGTAAAACGTAATAGTCTATCAAGGTAGGAATCGCGGTCTGGTAGATGTTACGGTTTGCTATACGGCCGAAAGAAGAAAAGAGCATGAGAAAAGGTTCGGCAGAAGTGATATTTGATCAAATGTTTCAGGGTTGTTAACGAATGCGATGAGAAGCGAAGATTGTCGACCAGTGATGGGAAGTTGAATGATGACGATAAGGAACAGATGCTCGAACGCTGCTTCAACAATACTTCTGGTATTTCCTCCTATTGTGTACTGCTGCAACCCAACTCCTTTCTTCGCAACACTTTTCATGTGCAAGGATGTAGGCTTCTCACAAGTCCTTTTTACAGCAATCCTCTCATAGATTCTTCCTCTTGGAAAATAGCGTTCTGCAGAAGTATCATTATGATAGAAAATATCTATTAATTACTAATTAATAATCAATAACCCATTACTGAATTAAGGTGATACACATCAAACGTCACCTGTAGAATCAGCGAAAAGTAGTGGCGATGAGGGGTCGTTGACAGCAGAGGAGATGTGTGCTGAGAAGGGAGGTGGTGCATCGAAACGAAAGGCTGGATTGAAGTTGAATCAGATCGCTGCACGATTGCACGAGAAGAATTCACCGGGAGTCGATGATATGCACATTGTGGATAGCACAGATTGCGTGACCAGTGAGGTAGGTTCTATTTCGAGGCGATGGTGATATATTGCTGGTTAATTTCTGTGTATTGATAAGCATTTTTAGAGGATGGATGACGATGAGAAGGAGCTAAGTCCGTTGGCTGTAACTCTGCCAATCTCCGCACCGATCGCTTCAAGACCCACCCCGACAAGAGTTCTTCCCACACCGCTGACATTCACCACGGACACCACCAATCTGAACATCTTCCAACAAGCGTGCATTGCACATATGCAAAATATGGAGGTGCATTCTACACCTTTTCCTTTTCACAACGTCCAGTTAAGATCTACACAGAGCACTGTTCGATTAGTTTGTGGAATGTGGTATTGCAGCATACTTTATCAGATGAGATTTGCTCGTTTAAGGGATCGTCAATAAGTATCGTGACAATATCTTCCGAACGAATGTCAGTTCACTTATTTCTGTGAGAGGATGAAATTCTTGTAGGTTTGAAGTGGTCGATCCTCGTTTTATAATCGTGAACACATTCACCAATTATTTCATAATATAGTCTGGTATCATTCATCTTAAGTGAGAGAATGAAAGGAGGATGGAGTTTGATCTGGATGTTCTCTCAAGTAGTTTCCAAAGCATAGAACGTTGATTTGTTGCTGATCAATACCGCAAACGTCATTTCCGTTACTATTCACTTTGTTGTTTGAAGCATATTCTAATTGTATAATAATAACTAAAATAACAACAAAAACAGCAACTGTCATTCATTTGTTGTCACTTCTTAATCACAAATCATTTCTGAATAATATCTTTTTTTTAACAGTTGTTCAATTAAAATGTGTATTTTTGAGTGTCGCGATTGATAGCTTAACTTTAAGTTTGTTTTTATTGGAACTAAAACAGTACTGTATTTAAAGAATGCTATTTGGTATATGACCGACAGGATATCATCAATATTATAACACTAAAGCAACTTCCTATTTGTTCACAGACTTATTCACTGACTGAAACATGCACCTCTTCCCAAGGTTTCTGTGCACAATAGCATTCCATTCCAATAAACTCCGAATTGTTATCCAAGTATGGATATAATTCCCAAAAAATTTCAGCAGAAACTGCGTTCAGCATTCGATATGTGGCGTTTTTCATGTCCGCATTGCAAGATGGCCTTTCAAGACGAGCCATTATTCCATATTCATATGGGGTATCACGGATACGAAAATCCGTTCAAGTGCAATCGCTGCGGTCAGGCGTGCAACGATGGTCTAACTTTCAATCTACATCTTCTTCAAGCTAAACATTGATTGTCGTCTGTCGCTGCTTGTTAATAACTCCTTTTAATGGATCGTTATCAGTGTCATTCCTCAATCCTCAAACCATCCAAACACTAAGGCAATCTCGCCTCATCTGAAACTCACACAGATTCATAAATATTACCTCTTGATGACTTGTTGTCGACATATCTCATCGATTCATCGTTGTTGCTCTTCTCAGTTTACTTCTGGTAACCAAATATAAGCGAATCACCGTGTTGAAGTTTGGTCACATCGCTAAGTCATTTTAATTATTGACTGATCTATGGATGATCAGTTCGTTCATTATGATGCAGCGCCGTCATTATCAGTAGATGTTAAATGGTTGTAATGATAATGCTTACGATTACCTCCTTACTCTACCAATGCAACTCACCATATCCATCAGAATATATTCTATACGACATATGCTTAGTGCTCTTCACTAAAGTGACCCGTTCTCGAAGGATTTTTTCATTTTGTCATTGATTCTTGTTTTTTAGGCTTGTAAATATTAGCACTTTTGCGTGACTGAATAATTTATTGTTGATTGGTATTATCTATAAGATTTGAACTGTTGCAAAAACGATAGTAGAGTGAATAAGTTGTTATTGTTGTTTTGTTATTGTTCGAGTTGTCTTTTGACTCAAAAGCACTTTCATTACTGGATTGATTCGTTCATTATATTCGATGTTAAGCTGAAGGAACGCACATTCCTCTCTGCTAGCTAATCTCCTTCTCTTGACTCCTTTCTTTTATTCATTCACCTCATTCTTCATTTGTGATTGTTGTTCGTTGTCGTGTTGTCATTATCTTATTGTTATCATCATTGATATTGTGAATGTATTCGAATTTTTCTCTACATTTCTTCTTACCTCAGATGATATACACTTTTACCTCAACTTAAGGGGTCTCATCACCATTTGTCCGTTTATTTATGTTATATTCATCTTTCGCTATGTTAATATTCGTTGCATCGTTTGCCAAAGTCGTTCAGCTGACAGTTTAGCTGTTGGTTATTATTTATGTTTGTTTATGTAGGTTGGTTGTAATGATTGGGAGGAGGAAGGAAGTAGTAAACGTTTCAGATGCTTATTGCAGTTCTTGTGTTGTGGATGTGCACAACATGAATTATTGCAGTTTTGAGATGAATCGACAAATTTCATGAGCCACTGAAAGAGTCACTGTTGGCTGCTGAACTTGTGTCAATCACTGCAATTCGAGAAATGTGTTATTAACTTCATCATCCATTAACTTATCATTCGAATGTGTTATTTCACCTATTCTCAATATTTATTTCTGTATAAGCCACGCGTTCTGAGTTCGTTCACAATGCACATTCACACCCCATTTTTTAATCATTGCAATCTCCGAACTACTTGCCGTGCCATCTCCATTTTCATCCCTCAAACGGTTATTTTTTACTGATATCAAATCATTTCCCAACTCCATATCTCCACCAAAAACGTTCAACTTTTTGAGGATTCTTGCTGGGGTGTGACTGGGTAAAAATGATCCTCACTAACTTCGTCCTAATTGATATCATCAAGCACACCTCTCAAAAGAGCAGCACAAATGCGTGGTCCAATACGGTTATCAATTGAACTCAGGGAATTGTATCGTTGAAAGCGATACCGTATACCAAATGTTTTTGGTCGTTGTTGTTGTTATTGCTATTGTTATTGTTTTACTGAAGTCGTTTTTGTTCCATTTCATAATCTACGAGTTTGATGAATTTACTCCGTTATTCGAATCAACTTCGTATCGTTAATACGTGGTGCTTTTTCTGCTCTACTATCTATCTATCTATCTCATTGTCCATCTTCATCTACCTGATTATTCAATCATCTCTTGCTTGATTCGAATTTGTAATCAGATTCGTTGAATGCTCCTTCTACCTCCATCTATCACAAGTCTGTTTCTCGGAATCTATTTGACAAAATGATCTAATTCATAACGTTTGATTTTACCTTCCTGCCTTTATCAAACGTCTTCACATTAGCACTAATAATATGATTGTTATTCAGTCTACCTCCCTGCTATCCATCTCATGACTTATCACACTCAAACTGTTTATAATTCTCTTTTCTCATCGATTCTTCACCTCGACGAATCCACGTTGTCGACTCATCATCAGGAAGTGTTATCTGACATCTTTTTCGAGTCTCCTAGAACTCGAATTTGCTCGGAAACAAAAGTTTGTGATGATTGCGGATTGTTGCCGATAGTGTTTTAATATGAATTCGCCGTTTTGTGACACACTGACATATGCTGAACCGTATTACGACGGTGCTTTTTGATTCTGATTGTTTGTTCGTAAACGATACATATATTTATATTTTTATGTGGAATGTGAGTGATGATGACTCTGACTTGTATAAATAATACATTTTAAAATACATTTCATTTCATCAGTTTTTGTCCTTCGCTTTTGAGAACAATCTTTTATAACTTCGTTGACTGACTCAGAAACAGGTTGATTCATTCAGTCTATCAAATTCATTCGTTCATCCTCATAAAAACTGTCATTTTTATGCGTTCTTGACCAAAACTTCCTTAATTGAGATTATCGCATCGAAAAGCAACCAAATGTTGATTAATTTTAAAACGCCACCTTTTAAATAATGCCATGTTTCATCACTAATGAATTTGGTACTATAAATGGATATAGAACGAAACAAATTTTCAAAAAAAATGCCACAGTAGATTGGGTAATACCAATAATGTTTCAACGTTGAAGCTCAGGTCGTTCATAATCATATGATGTATGCTTATAATTATCAAAGTAGCTGTTCTGTTTGATGATCATTTGTCGTTATTTAATAGATTCATGCTTGATTGTATTTATACCTCATTTCTTCAACGCATATTCATCTCATTTAAAGTTTCTTCGATTAATAAAACAATTTTCTGTTTTTTCTTGAGAAACTTTTCGGCAGACGATTTATGGTAACGACAGAAAAATCCTCATTCTTAAACCATCTTCACCTTCTTACAAGATTACGATTGCAGAGCTATATGAGCAGGAACGTTTCATGCTCTCTTCATTCCTCCCCTGATGATAGTGTAAAACGAGACTTATTACAGGCTGTGCAAAGGTGATTTTTCCTCACCAATCACTGCCACTGAGAATAGTCAGTACGCAAAATACCATAAATTGCCGAAGCATTTAAATTACGGAATTTAAGTAAGTAAGAAAGCAATTATAAACTTGCAAATGAACCCGTCTCCCTCAAACAATCATCGCGTTCCAAAAAACATTGTCAAAAATTCACTTTAAAATTTATTTATCAGAATAACACTCGAATATCTCATTATCATCAATTATTTAGTAAGATTATAGAAGCAAATTACTGTTCAAACAAGGGAATATTCAATTTAACTAAAGTAAAATAAATAAGAATTGTTTGGAGGAATAAACATCGAACCGTAATTTAAACACTTAAGAACGATCTCTTCAAACAGGGACAAAAGAAAAGAGGATCACTAGTTGACGAACAGAAAACAACATCAAACACCAATAAAACGCGTCCGTTTGCAAAATCAATGAGTTATCGCGATCAATCATTGCAGTTCATCCCTAACTTCACTCATACCTATTGTTATTATCAATTCGTTCCAGCTTCCTTCCGGGCGATAAATGAAGCACAGCAATTCAGTACATGCGAATAATATTACAATAATAAAACAAAAGCCCTGCTGACGAACGCAGAGATGCAAATGGACACGAAGAAACAATGATATGAAAACGGATGAAAGAGGGAGGAGATGTTCGATAATGTGCATGAGGACATCTCATTGTGGATCATGTAATGATATCCTCATAACGTTGTAAGATTTGCACACCGCATGCTTTCTGAATCAAGCTGGAATAAACGTTCAAATTAATAGTAGAAGATTCGATGTTTATTAAAGTGAGTAAATACAATAATCTCAAAAAGCGAACGCAACTCAACTCAAACTAAAATGAGTTAGTAGTAAATAGGAGAGCGAAACAAAAACGAATGAAATGAAGTGGAGAACAGATCCTCAACAACAATAACAATAACAACGAGAAGAATCAAGAGAGAAAAGACAGTAAAATATCCGCTGAATATGTGCCATTCTGAAAGACTTCTACGCAACTCTGAATCTTGTTTTGAGCTTTTAAGGCGGATTATCTCGAAGTTACACCAAATTCCTTTCGAAAATAAAAGTAAATATACTCAGTAAAAGATTGAATGAAACGTGCGTGAAGCACATGAGAAGAGAAGAGTCAAAATAAAGCAGCCAAAATTGAATATTGTTGAATGAAATGAGTAACAAAACTAAAACGTTGATAACAACAGTAGTAATGAACTGTGAGCAATGCATGTAAGATTTGTTATTGAATATCAATCAAAGCACTGAAATCAACATCAAATCGGTTCAAATACCATAATGAAAATACTATAACCACTGAAAAGATTGACGTTACACGCTTGAAAGGACTACCAGTCCACCCAGTACGTAATAGGGATTAAGCTATTACCTCTAATACAAATTTTTCAAGCGAACATCTACGATCAATCACTCGAAATATCAGTCAAACAGACAGTAACAGTCAAGAAGATACAAACCGGTACTGAAACATCTATGTGACACATCGTAGTCATCAAAGCATTTGAGTTGAGATGAAATAAGTTCGGTTGGGAATACTCACACAAAACCGAAATTCTTGGCTTTAATGGCCATCAATAACTTGCTTCGAAGCACTTTCTTACTCGAATAGAGCGGTAAGTAGAGCCTGAAACAACAAAGATGTCAATCACAGTGCACATCACGATTCTTTCAATGAAACGGAAACAGATTCATGAAACGAACCTTGAAATACATGTATTCGCAGTGGGTAAATGCTGATCATCTGCAGGGCGTACAAGAACGGTCGGTAGCGGTTGGAATCCTTCTTCACTGGATGGTAAAGACGGTGACCCCGTCCAGAAGAACACCAGATCCTGAAATACATGATTCAAACCAACAGCTCACCCATCTCCCTGTAATCCATCGAATGCAATAATCATCCTCAGTCCTCTTGTTTCAATTCCTCGAAACAAACAGCATTAAACGGAACAGATAATTCCTCAAACCCGAGATGCATAAGGATGATAAAGTAAAATTTGGCAACGAGCACGAAGTAAGTACTCTTCAACGAGTCACTCACCTGTTTCTCTTGGCTATTCAATTTACCGCACACAGACCAGAACCATCCTTTAAAACGCTGCAACACATCAGGCGCTGCCGAACTTTCGTCCGTGAACGACGTATAACTTTGCATCAATGTCATCGACACCTAAATTCATCACTCTTCTCGCATTCGCGAATCTCAAATTCCACGCACGGATCAGTATTTTGTTCTAAGCCTTCTGCGAATAAAAAATTTCCATTGTTGCTCAATGAACCAGACAAAAAAGCACCAACCTGCCACTAATCAACGTAATTTCTTACTTTACGGCTCAATATCGAATATAGAATCTGTTTCTATTTACGAGCCCATCTCTCGAATCAAATCAAAACCAACATCCAATAACAAAATTTCATATAAGAACAAACCTCCTGTGTGCCACAAAGTAACAATCGCAAGTCTTCAGACGTCATATTTGTCAGAGATCCAAATGGAATAACATCGTACACACCTTGTTTGATTGCCTGCAATCGAACAAATAAAACAACTCTAACCAATCAATAAACACTATTCCGATCCGCAAATTTTCATTCATCATTTATCCATCACACAAAATAAAACGATATCGTATTCTACGTCACTGTTGATAAAGTTTTTGGAATCGAAACCTTTTTGAGTGATGCATATTTGAAATCTAAAATTTTGTGGCAACATTAATAAAAGTGCATTAAGGTATCCACCTCAAGAGCTTTGAGATGATTTCCAAGAAGTCTCATCTCGACAAAACGATATATGTACTCGACCACATTCTCGTGTGTCACTGCTATCTGTGATCCACCACGCACCAACTCCACCACTCCACCACCCTAAAAGCACAACCATCCTATTTGCAATAAATCGCGAACATATCCCATATCGTAATCTCCTCAAGCCCAAATAAATGAAAACCGCATAAATCTGTCGAAGTACAAATTCTACTATCATTACGAAAGGCAATGACAAAAATTTGCAAACACGACCCGAGCGGGACTCGAACCCGCAGTCTTCGCCTCCGGAGGGCGACGCCTTCTCCATTAGGCCACCGGGCCACCAGCTCCTTCCCAAAAACTACAGTTTTGTTTTGTTAATGCGACTTGGAATTTGACGAAAGTTAGCAAAATGTTCGTAAAGAGTACATCATTTAATGTTTCTTTGCAGTTTTTAGCTAACATTCTGTTAAGTCAGCAAAATATTCGTAAAGAGTATATCATTTAATGTTTCTTTGCAGCTTTTAGTTAACATTCTGTTCGAAAATATAAGTAGTTCTATTTATCGAAAGGGCATTACGAGCGGATGACCGTAAGTAATTGTAGTTATCGAACAAGGCTTCGACGTAATAAGGATAAGAAAATCAGTTCGGAATGAATTAGAATGATGATAAGAATGCTGGTCGAATAACAATATCACACTTCACAAGAAATATTTCTTGAATGCATTCGAATCAATCATAAATACATGGAGTAATGAACAAATCAGATAGTCTTATATAAACCTTAATGAATCAAAATATATCAGCGAATGAATAAGAAAGTGGTCCACGAAAAGGCAACGCACCTCTTCGATAGGTAATGCCACTTCGAAATTGAGCATTAAATCGTTGATTTGATCTGGTCTCGTAAAAGCACCCTCGTTAAACACCAACGTTCGCATCGATTCAAACAAAATCGGATCATAGAATGCCAAATCGAACCAATTTATCGGTCGTCCCAAAACGAACTTCAACACGTGACGACAAACGTGCAGTGGGAAGATTTCCATTTGTAATAAGCAAATCCCAATCATCCTGCAAACGAATGCAATCATCTCAGTATTTGAAGATTACTTTAAGCAGCGATGGGACCTCAGTTCTATGCATCCAGCATGAAAGGACGACGTTTCAGAGAAAGACGCATGATGCAGATGGCAGCGACTTCATTCAGTAAAAACTTAAAAGTGAACGAATGAAAAGAGAGCATTCAACCTGCCAACATTGCGGAATGCATTCAAACGATGAGCAGTGTTCTTGCCAGCGATCGGTGTGTAATAGCCACATTTACTTGCACGATAGAACAACGGTAATGTGTCATCATCCGGACCTGTTGTTGTGCTCATTCCTAACAATTATTCGTAGGTATACACTCAATACAAACTTTTATCTGATTGCAGTAAGTGATGCATATATTGCAGCCATCGAAGTAAACACAAAAAAGCTGTAGTTTGGCTTGAACACATTGCTAAAAACTAGGTGGCTCATCAAAAGAATCAATAAGATGATATCGAAAAGAACCTTGCAGGTTTGGTGTACTTGCTGCTTTGTTCATCGACGAATCAGCAACACCAACATCAGCGGAATGCTCCAGATTCAGTCCGAGCCCGGAAGTCGTGTTTGTATCACCCGATCGACTGTTATTACCAAGACCTGCTGCCAGCAGCATATCAGCTGCCTCGTCAACATGACCTCTCAATAAGTCTTCACTCGCCAATATCGTTATCAACTGATGCGGTTGTAAGTCAAGTAACATTCCCGTTATTTTATTACATAACGTCTGAAATTACTCATCACTGTTATATTTCACTCCACTTGGTAATGATATACTCTGTGATGCATCAGCAATGAATTATCAAACTTAAACTGCAACCACCCGAAAAGAACGAAACCAACCGGTCTAATCGCCCTAACCCTAGCCAATAATCTCTCGCCAAGCGTTTCGCGATCAGGTTCTCGAAGAGTTAACGGTGCTAATCCGTCTGTTGGATATCTGATCAATTCGAATCCGTCCGGATGCGATGCTGATTCATTCAATTGTGGCTGTTGCGCTGAGAAGTACGGCTGTGAATTCACCGATAGCATGTAACGACTGCAATTTTCATTCATTCTTTTCATTTCCATCAAATGGCATGCTTTCAAACGCTTTCCAATTAGCATTCATCCATTTAATTGTCGAATTTACTGATACAAAATATAATTGCACAGCATTGAAGTATGTATAAAACTAGCCTTCTTAACCCACGCCGTCTACCAGAAATGCTCAGATTTCCCAACAGAACCGCACTCCGTTCACGAATGCCACTTCTTGTCCACGGTCCACGATTATCTGCAAACGTTTGTCACTTTCTACCTGAATGAGATGGAGAGATGAATAAACGTTGATAGAAAGCTAACTTGATTGCGGCGTGTTGTCTGATGAAGAAGGAGCACCAAAAGCCGTGAGAACATGGTGTTCATCGGGAAGTGTTTGCATTGTTAAGAAGGCATCTGCCACCGCCGAGTAAAAACTTCGTGCCACTCCGCTTCCTTCACCCGGCTCATCTTTGAACGTCACTTTCACCTTAAAACTCATCAAAATGTCAAAACCTTCGACGACCGCTTCGCTACTGACCTTGTGGCATGCCAACGGCGGATTGTTGTTCACATCTGCATTTCCAGCCGAGCTCTGAGTCGTCGACAAGCCATTCCAGAAGGACAGCAAACGTACACCACCACGACCAACAATGCCACTACCTCCAGCAGAACCTGTCGACTGCGTTTGACTACTGGCTGCTGCTGAATTGGCAGTGCGTCGTGTATAGTGCATATTCAACTGACGGATTGTTTGTGCCACCAATTCATGCTTGTCACGTTCTACCTGAAATCCGAATTTGCAATTTATATTTGCTGACTTTTCACGAAATTCTTGACCGCAAATTAGAAAATAAACGTTGTTTGCGAGCAGAAAATTAAGAATTAATCAGAATTAATCAGAAACTGTAATCAGAAACTGAGTGTAACGCAATAGTCAACCTCAAAGATAAGATCCTTTGTTTGTGCGGCCTTGAATTTCTCCATTCTTTTACGAAATTGTGCCTCTCGAATCGAGAATCCGACCATTTCAGTGAGCAGAATCGATGCCGATGACTCATCTCCACAACCACCCAACAACTGCTTATAATACGCCTTCAAGCATATGTTAAAGGATATGCAATAATATGAAACTAATGAAAAAAGTAACATTTTGAACTGACAATAAACTTTAAAAAAGAATAATGAACCTTAGCCATAAGACTCAGTGTATGTTTCCACCTAGCCAGAGACTTATGCAGTTGACTTTGATTTCGCTCATGTAACGCGCTCATCAAACTCTCCAATTTGATTCCTGTAAATCCATAGGGTGGTTGGGGTTGTGAATGTGACTGGGTAGGTGCGGTTGTTCGTGCTTGTGCCGCTGATGACGAAGTTCTGCGACGTGCTTTTGCTGAAAACAACAACTTTAATCATGCTTGAAACATTCGCTGAGTATAAATGAACTAGCTGTGTATGATTGAAAGGCGTCTAACACCCAGAAGACATCATTAATGTTACTCCAAAAGCAAATCTTACGAGGGACAACTGCAGATGACGAAGTCTCGCCTGCACCAATACTCTTCGAATGCACGATTACATTCGGTCGACCTGGAACTGCAGCTGTCGACGCGGTTGCTGCTTCTAGAATGTGCCGTTCATTTCAAACCTAACTCTTTCATTCTAATCCCTCAAATTCCAATATCCAACCCTGCATAAAGATGTTTTCTGATGCACATAAACTAGACCCAAATAAAACAAATAGTCACCTCGACTTCCCATTGAACCGCTTTGAGTTTGTGATGGCATAAGTTCCTTGAAAGATGACCATGGCGCTGCAAGGCCTTGATGTGCCGGGTGTTCAACACCATGCTCACGTGCACAACGCTGCAATTGTATTCACTAGACGTTATTCACTTCTTCATGCTCAGTTTTAAAAAAAAGATATGAAACCTCATGATCTTGAGCAGATCGCTGTTCTACAGGCAAGCCGAACATGTGTTCTTTCTCTAGACCCGCTCTCAGGAGCTGAGGTTGTTCGGCGAGTGTCAAACAATCCGAGCATTTGTGTTCGAACGCATGATGATTCCGAGCCGCAGTTATTCCAGGATACAGTAACGAATTCGAGCGCTGCAATCATCAAAACTATGTACAGTTTCTTTCAAACTGATGATGAACAGTCAGTTGATAGTATTCATAACGAGTCTCTTCCGCGGAAATGTGCTGAATACCTGGAAGAAGTGACGTTCTGCTTTCGGTGATGCGCTTGTGGTAGGCTCACATTCTCGCTGAAATGTTTAACACATTCATTCATACCTGCTTCACTTATCCATTGTCACAAGTGATCTCTATCAGTTTCGTGCACGGAACAAAAACTGCTTTCCAACTGTACCAATCAAAAAGCAAAATAAAGCATGCCATGGGCTGGTCCTCGAACATGTCAACAGTCTGGTTACTGCTCGCAGATGCATCACCATCGTCAGAATGCATTTGTTCGAGGGTGAAATCCACCTTCTCGATCATATCAACGAACGATAAATAAGCATCAGCAACGAAAGCCAATGCCTTCAGTGCATTAAATTCGATGATCGGTACGTCATCTCCGTTCTCAGCTGCATTCGAGCGCATCAGTGCCAAAATATAGCCAAACAAATCGGATCGTGCCACCATCTGATAACTCTCTTCATCGGCTGAATAAAAACTTGCATATCGTTTGACCTTGAAAAGGATAATGAAAAGACAAACATTTTTTGCTTGACGACTCTCCTCTCGGTAGCTGTCTAGCTGTCGTGTAATCGGCTCGTAACGCTGCAGAGTAAATGGCAGGAGCACGTCTTCTGAAATGAAACAGTTCACGTTCACGTTCACGTTCACCAGTGAACAGCACCTAATATCCCACCTCACGTCATCTTTGCGCGATGATGACGACTTCCGATCATCGTTCACGATCATAGCGCCGGCCGGTGACCACATCAGAGCATTACCGAATCTCAGCTGCGCTTCTGTACGGTCCAAAACCGATTCCATCCAACGCCACGTCGCATTAAAACGCTCACCGATTTCATGCTGCAGTTTTCATTTGTTCACAACATTTAACTAACGCCCCGACAACACAACAACTCACTCTCAGTGCAGCCACAATCACATCGTTCAGTTCCAGCATTTTCGGTATGTGGGAATACGAACTCTTCGAATACTCGCGATAATCAACTAGTAATGGCATCAGATCAACCACCAATCTGCAATACAAACGTTCATCTTCTGCAGTACAGCTGCAATTAGCAGCGCGAAACGAACCTTGTGATGATTGAAAATGACATAGCCAACTGCTGACTCGTTTTGTTGACAGAACTCTGACAATCATCTTCACCATTGATTGCGTCACCTAAATGTTGTGAAGATGCTGCTGCTGCCGAGCTGTTGTTCGTATTACTGCGACCGTTTGAGGGCGAATTTGAATTAACGAAACGACGGTGATGATCATTTTCATCTTAAATCATCACAACGGGTTTCGGCTCAAGCACATAAGATCATCGATTTAAACACAAAACGCTTATTCAAGACGCTCGCAATGGGTGTTTGCAAAAACAGCACATTGAAACGCACTCAAATTATCTCCGTTACGATCCCTATCTGCTGCAGAATCTCGGTTTATCGAAGAAGATTCAAGATTTCTCGACGAACCACCATTCGAAGACGAAATTCGTCGCATTGCCCATGTTAATGGAAGTGCTGCAACACGTCGCATTCATAAACTTCAAGCCCCACTAACTGATCATCTCATCAATCCAATGCATAATAAAAATAATCTTAAAAATATGAATAATTCATCAACGAACTGTTATTGCGACCACTAGTAACACCAGATGTTCTCGCTGAAGACGCATCACGCTCAGATGGTGGAGTTGGTGGGGCAGCAATGTGTATATCTTCTGAACAAGAAATTACTAATGATGGGACTTTTCTATGAGAACAATAATGTTAGATCCTGAAAGGATTCATTCAATATCTGGCACGCAATCCAAACCAACAATCTTTGGAGCGAACACCATCACCTGATCGCTGTAAACCGACTGAGGCGAACAACATTTACAAAGGTGGAGGATATCCAAATAGCCGTATTTATCAAGCAGCTAACTGAAAGGATCAAGCAAAACCAACCCAAGGTTGCATTTCTCCTCATAGCAGCCCTGCGACTTGCAGCACGCGATCGCGTTGTACCGCTATCACCTCCCGAATCAGTCGTGAACAAAACGCGCATTGCCGATTGTCTCGAAGTATCCCCATCACCGGACCCTCGATCATCCTCACTCACCTCTGCACTTCTATCCTACAAAACCCATTCTTCAGTCATTATTTACAAGAACGTTATAGTTAAACAGAGACAACAGTCACATCTAATCTGAGAATACTATATGACAAATTATTCTTAATTTCAAAGACTCTGTTATATACATATAATGGCATCATCTTTATATAAAATAGAGCATTTCAAATTCATTTTTTACCGTATTTGCTTCGTTATTATTATTACTGCCAGTAGTAGCATCACTTCTAGCAACATCAGTTGCAGAATCGTGACCAGACGTATCGCTGCTGCCCTCACCTCTTGTACGAGATGAACCTGACATTACATGCTATCGTTAGAACACCTGCCTTCTTGGATTACTTTCAGGGGAACGTTGAAGAGAACAACGAACCATTGGCAGTATCAGTGTTACTTAACGAATTATCACGCTCGTTGTTGCTTGACGGCTCATTCGCGTTCGAGGGAGCATTCGACATTGTCACATTGCTGCTCCTGGACGCGGATCGGCTGTTACGACGTTGACTTCGAGTTGACACTCGGAATGCTATGAGATAATTCAATAAGGTAATTAACATTTACATTGCTCTACTCACCATAAGGATCTTGATTACTCGCTGAGAATGCATCGGGCTGTCGTTCTGCATCACCGTCCGCCTCTTCGCCGTCCTCTTCACGCTCCTCCTCGTCGGCCACATTAAAAATATCCTCCTCTTCATCGTCGTCCCGATCCCTTTCCGCACGACCCGAACCCATACCTGAACCACTCTGCTCAACAACTGCTTCTAAGGAAGTGATCAATCAATAAACCTACCATCTCGAGCAGCATCACCATCAGTCTCCTCGCCATCCTCATTCTCGTCGTCCCCTCTCTCGGGAGGGGTACTAACCGAGTCATCCATCGATTCGTCATCATCATCTCCTCCATCCTCACCCTCATCCTCATCTTCATCTCCCGACATACTCAACAGTTCCTCATCCTCGTAATCACCACCTAAACTATTACTTCTCTCACAGCTGCACCAAACAACAATCAAATCAAATAAGCACTAACGATATCTTTTCGGACGTTGTTCATCATCAACTGCATCCACCGATGACCCTTGACTAACCGGGTGTCTAGCTGATGCCACATCTCAAATGAAACAAAAATGATGAAACATATATCATAATAAAACACCACACCAACCATCACTTTCGTAATCACTCGAATTATCACTGTCCACAACGTTGATCAGTGCGCTTAACGTCCCTCCACCAGTTGATGCTGTTGTACTGCTATGCGATTCGTCATCGACTTGTCTGTCTGTGTCTCGACGACTACTCTGCTGAAAATACACCTTTTTGCACAGCTCAATAAGTGATGCAACAAAGGATACTAACCCGTCTCCTCTTGGATGCAGGTTTACTGGAAGTGAAATCATCGAAACGAGATGTGCTCAACGATGACAGATCCACCTCTCCGGCCAAATAATGCTCTATCATCTGCAAAAGAAGAGCCTTAACATCATTCACATTGCCTTACAATTCACTCACCTCTAAACAATCTACACTGCTATTCGTTTGTTGTACCAATGCTGTCGGTTTCAAAATGCCTCGTCTCACCGGAGCTATCAACGCATCAGCCATATTGCACAATTCGTTTATCGAGTAACAGATCAGTGTTTGGAATACACGACGACATTTCAGCACAAAATTTGTTACACTGCAATTCAAAACGATTATGATCTCGGCAATAAACCATTTGTAAATCATCTCTTCTATTCCAAAGCAGAACAACACCTCTTCTTCTTGGCTTGCTTAACCGCCGAGCTATCACGTCCACTGCTTGTGCGTACCAACGATAACAATCCCGAGAAACTGACAGCATGAAAACCAGACGCAAGCGATCGTCTGAAAGTCAACATTCAGTCCCATACTAAATCTCATACAATAGCAACTAATAACCTTTGCGGTGCACCATTATTGATGATCGGTGCGAACACTGTACCCGAAGTGGCTGCTGCTGCCACTCCAGCAGCTACGGGCGAGAGGAGTGTCAGAATCGCGAACAACCTGCAGTTGGTTATTTGTTATCAAGCTGCAGTTATATTTGCAGCCAATCTAACCTGATAACAGATCGAATGAAGCGTGCTATTATGAAATCAACATCTGGATCACGTTTCTCCTCGTCACTGTCTTTCTTATTCGACTCTGTGATCAGCGTATTCAGCAGCGAATCGATGTGCTGAAAGAGGACAGCATGACTGAGCCATACAAACCATACTAACAACAAACCGATTCGGTGCATTTGGCGAGTAAAGTAAAGACGAATTTATCGAGGTGCGACGTTCCACTTTGCTGATTGAGCTGATAAACTTCTTCGAGCATCAACGTATCTCTGAAATGCAACAATCGTCAAGTGATCAGCTCAGCACGCATCAAAAAACAACACTCACTTCTGTTGTTTCTTCACACCGATCATGATAACACTCTTAACCGATCGCCAATCTGTTAACAACTTCATGAATGCTGTCCGTGCAAATTTCGGTGGTTCCAAGTCGTGTTCAGGAGTAACTCCATCTAAAAGCATCTTTTCATGTCTCATTCCACTCACAACTAAATGACGGTAAAGCTATTTAGCAGATGATAGTTCAAAAACAAGTGAATAATACCTGATGAAGGTTGTGTTTTCGGTTTATTCGAATTCCCTCTTCGTTGATAATGCTCTTGTTCGACAAGCTGCCGTCCGACAGTTCTCGCCAAGAACAACATCAAATGTTCACCACTAAAACGTCCATAAATCGATCAACCTAGAAATAATCATCAAAAAACGAACCGTGCGTTAACCTGATTAATCAGGTCAGTGCCGTGCAGCAACGTCTCCAACAACTTCTCCCTGCGCGCTCTATTCCCAACTACCAATGCCTTACACGAACACTTCTCCCAGCAGTCACAATAAGCTGTCGGCGAGGTGCGTTTCAATCTGAATAACAAACGTTTTTTTTCCCAAACGAATAGAAATGCGAGAAAAAGCAACTAACTTGCAATCGTGATTTCGATGACACGTGAATGCACACTCCGTACAACAACACAGCGTTCCAATCAAGCCACACGTCTTACATTCGAATATATCCTTCAATTCACTTCATCATCACTTTCATATGTCCAACACTCACATATCCAATAATAAAAACTCTAAAAGAATGCCTGATTGATATGCTCATCCCCGGTCCACGTGAAACTACAAGTATCATTGACACACAACACGAAAAGTGGTGAATCATCGGGTTTACTCCCTACTGGGAATACTGTTGCATTGATTATTGAGTCTGCGTTGACCGCTTTCTTACCACTTTGTACTGAAATGAAAACGAGTGAGAAACATGAGCAAATATAATGAAAGAAGTAAGGTAAGACCAACGTGTCGTTGTCGTTAACACTTCCTTGTGCAGATTCTCGATAGCCGTCCAGATGAAGTAAGCAGCCGAATAAGCTCGCACGTTGATCGCACACATGAATGGTGTATGACCATGAATATCTCTGAAATGTAGTAACCACCGACTAGAATCACTCAGACGAATAACAACACCGCAACTGTAACCGACTTCGTTGTGAGTAAATCATGCAAATAGGTGACGGTAGTTGGATGTCGACAGAGTGTTTTCACGATCTCGATTGCATTTGTCTGTCGTTGTTTCGGTTCGGACACTGGTGTGGCGAGGATTGGCATCGAATCTGCAAATTGTGAATCAACATAAACCTACTCAGTCCATCAAAATGAACCTACTATCATCAAAAAACAGCGGTGGTTGCTTCTTGCTGTCCTCGAAACTCTTGGCGATATCGGCGAGCACTGCAAAGCAATAGGTTATCGATGAATAACAATGAACAACAACCAAGTAACTCACCATCCTCAACACTGCTCACTTCATGTCCTGATCTGCGAATCGGATTCATCAGTTCACGCAGTAATAACTGTTCATTGCTCGACTCAGTGCCACGTCTCCTAAGAATGCGTTGCCAACGTTGGTCGTACGATGCGCGAGTTTGCTCGGCTGCATTCATTTCCACTTCTATATTATTACGCTACTATTAGCGATCCGATGCGATCACCCCATATAAACTACAATACTAACGTTGTTGTGTAGACGCATCATCTGTGTCTTCATCATCTCGATTCGTCAACGAGAACGCATTCATTACAGCTGTATGTATTACATTGCGATTGCCATCACATCGTGCATATACAACCTCCGACATTATCACGTCTACTGAAACCACAACCCGAAATCATATAATACCATCTCCTTCAAATATCGATTCTTACCTGCTTCATAAAATCTCATCGTCTTCTGCCTATAGATTTCAAAGAACGAATACAACTGAAAGCGCTAACCAGATTCCTTTCTCAAAGCATCCAGAACACACTCGACAGCCTTTGAATCGCAATAAAGGATTGTTTGTATTAAAGATGGTATGGCTGGGTGAACGGATGTCGGTGATGGCGCTATCAGTGCGGCGATGATTGCTGTGCGGTTGCTTTGTCGTGATGATCCTAGATGAACTTATTTTCATGTTATGTTCCCTTCGCTAGTACCAAAATAGTCTTTATAATTCTGTCAACACAAGATTTGGAAAGAGTGGTAGTCAAGTGACCACAATTTGAAGCTCTACATCAATATATCAGTAAAATGCAAATCGAAAGCGACTGACCAGTGGCAGCGTTCGATGGAGTGCTCATTCCGAAACTAGTCGCGTCACTACCTTGCTCAATTGGCCTCAACCCGATCGCTGAATGTCGAATCGATGCAAACCCGAGATAAACCGGTTCTCTAAAGCCACCGACAGCATCACGACACATCGGTATTATCGAACCATTCCCATCACGAATCACGGTTAATGATTCCTGCAATACAAACAAACGAATATCCTCTCTCCAAATTGATAATCACAATAATTAAACTATGAGCAAACTCACATCACCATAATTAATCAACTGCGGTGTTAATTGCGGTACGCCACTCAACGCTACTGAGTTCATGGGAAGGAGGTGATCGGTGAGAAGTTTGCCAAATACACTCACTCGGATTAGATGCATACGACCACGCTTCTCGACGAGCATCCGCACTCCTGCAGATTGTCCATCAGTCTTTGCACAGAGTTTTCAACTGAATCAACAACTGACCAGTATTATCAACAGTGACCGAATGCAACTTGCGCGCCGATAGCCAATTTGGCAGTTGTATTTTAGTTAAGTGCATCTGGAAGTTATCGGGTGATCGTGACGTGCGATTGCTGGGTGACACAATGACGAGGTCATCTTTACGCATCAGTCGAATCTTGGCCAGTTCAACGAGCTGATTAGTGCCTCCAGCATCCAGCTTCGAATTCGCATCGCTCGCCGATTTATAAACGATTCCGCAGTACGCACCATCCACCTGAATACTTCACCATCAACTAACACTCTTCCTGCACCACCAGCCAAATCAGCATCATAAATACTCACAATCTTAACGATGGCCGTGTCTTGCGAGTTTTCTTCGTGAATGAAAATTACGTCGTTCAACGCCCAAGCCGTTTCACGAAACGTCGGCGTTACACTCTCTTCACGCGGTCGTTTTCCATTCTCTACAATATCAAATATAAACATTTTCTCTTCCATCGAAACTTTCTCCAAGAGCAAATTTTAGAGCCTCTGATCGAATCAGATTGAGTATGAACGTCAATATCGAAACAACAAGCAATAAAAGCAAGAGATAAAGCAATCGAATGTGCCTTCAGCTATACAGAACAACTAAAGAAGCTACTCCACAATACCAACTATTCATTCAGTTTCAACATCTCTCAAGTGAATCAATGCCTATGATCAATTCAAACCATTTCCATCAAATGTGTGCTCACAGACCCATAATAGAAACTAGCGAAGATTATCAATGCTCTCCTTTAAATAGAGTAATGACACATTCCTGGAATATATATGATCACACTCGATGGAAATGGAGATATACATAATATCTGTGCTGATCACATCCCACTTCTCTGAATTCGGTTACGAGCTTCTTATTTCCCCAAACTGCTCATCCACTTCCAGATATTGGCGAACTCTAAATAATTCAGTTCCTCCAAAATCGTAACTCATCGCCCTCGTAGACCAACACTCGATACTATATATAAAGCAACCTAGACTAATGCGCCGTTCGGTCCTTCCTCACCGCACTCTCATCAAAACAAATGAATATAAATTGACTAGTGCACAATTGCTGCACACTTCACACGCATAACTCACTCACTCAACTAAGAAGACCGTAACGGCGCAAAAACAAGACAGTACATCACATGCAATCAATGACAAATCATTCTCAGAAGTAATCACGACAGGTCTACTGCAAATGCAACACAACACTAAGTGGGAAAGTGAGTGAGGAAGGAACGATACGCAATGCATTAGTGAAGGATGACTCAACTCACGATTCAGAATGCTCTTCTTATGAGACGAGCACGACGCCGAGCTGAAGGCTTGTCTAGCTTCGCTCTCATTCTGTTGGTCATCACCTGAATGCTTTTCTCGTGTACTTGATTCGTCGTATTGTGATGGTGTTTGCACTCGAAACCTGCACAGTTCCGCTAATGTCCATGCTGATTCCATCAACGTCCCGATCTATAAATACCTCTATGTATTCTTGTATCAACGTTGACTGTGCAATCACTTACCATCGGTACTCCAGAGACAAAGCTAATCGCAATCGATCCAGCCATATAAATGGGATGAGACTTGGTTCGTACTTCGCATCCCTCAGTGATTTCACTCACGTCGAATGTCACATGACGTCTCGAACGTGACCGAACTCGCTCCCAGAGTTTGCGTCGTTCGTTGAATGGATAAATGCCCCTTAAACACCAGATTTGATGTTAGCATCAAATCAGACCAATAACAACATTCAACTAACCACCAATAAAAGTTGTTGTTGAGTGTTCTGACCAACGAGAACATTGGACAAGCGTACAAAGCGACAGCCTTCTCACCATCAGGCACGTCACTCAACGGCATCATCAGCAGTTTGGATACACGTTTGCCACATGCACCTGCATCCATGAATGATGCCACTCGATTCGCTGATGTTAGGATGCACGCTCGATACGCACACGTCACTATATCCACGATCTTCTCTCCGTTAAAGCCCTTAACCAACATGGCAAAAATCATGCTTCAGCTCTTAATTCGTTTTATAATTTAACTATTCAAATGAAATATGAACTAGAACCAACGTTCGCTAAGATGGCTTTAGCGAAAGGATGTTGTGCTACTGTACCATTGCTACTCTTCCACGACCATCCATAAATGAAACCATCATCAGCCAATGCTATCAATTCACTGTGCATTGACACTATCTTCGTGAATTTTGTGACGCCATATGGCAATTTATCCTGAAACCAGTGAATTATCTTTTCATCAGGGATAGATTCATGCCGAACTGATTAAATCGAATAAACGATGAACTAACGTCGTCATCATTCCAATACTGCAATCGATCATAGACTTTAATCACTGCATTCGTACCATCCGATGTTGGTTCCTTCGATTTATCGTTTTTCTTTTCTAAGCAATGAATGGTTTTATTCAAACTGCTTGCATTTGCACAATGATGATATTGATAAGCGGCTCACCTCCTCGATCGGCCTTGCGCCTGGCAATATCCCTGGCTACGACATAATCGAAGCCATTGCCAGTGGCTGCATAAAAAGCATCGTGGTCAATCACTGCCGTTCCTCGAACATCTGATCTCAAGCCTGCATCTAACAAAGACAACAACTCCTCTGGTAAATACGACTCTGAACCTTCGTCCATCTCGTCACCTTCAATACACATAACAACAATAACACGATCACAATACTACTACCAATCATAATGAAACACACCGTCCTCGTCATCTCTACTCAACAAATTGTTCACAGCTTCGTTTACATTCAGATTGGTCCGTTGCAGCTCGCGTACGATCACATCGCGTGATTTACCTTGCAGCACAACCTCAAGTTTCATTCATCAAATCATTAGTTTGACCACAAAAGGGTGATCATTAGTAAAACTGAGGCAAACGGATTGATATCAGTCAACCTGTGCTTGAGCAATCAGATCCTCAGGAATGGCGCTGAGCGGTACCAATGGTCGTGTACGATCCACTATGACACCAGCCCTTTCGCCGAGTGTTGCTGACCGTCTTGACGTTAACATCACACGTCGTATCTTCGCAGTACGATTCAAAGCTAAAGCATAATGATTACGCAGTGTTTGAATACTGCCACAAATGGAGTATCAGTTCGAGTATGCAAACCCTCTTCCAAACCAACTAAACTGCACCCATTATTTCTGACAACTTAAAGACCTGAATTCGCGCTTGATGTATTCGTCGCCGACTCACTCCCCGCTGTCGAAGTTCCGCTTGAATTCGCTGCTGCACCCAATCCAACAGCACCACTTCCAGATGATGACTTATCATCGGTTCCTGATGACCCTCCCCCACCTCCTGTCCCAGCCCCCGATTCATCCTTATTCACCGTTAAATGATACCCCAAACGCGCCACTCGACCGTTCTAAAATTCATTTATTTGTTGTATGCAATCATTTAGAAAAGTGATGATAAGTTAAAAGTGATAATTTGTTGTGACAGCGATACGGCTTAGTCACTAGAAGACAATGTCACGGATATCTGCAGTGCTTATCCAGACGTGATAAAGCCCTGACATTCTGACGAAGAGCAAATAAACTTTGGGGCCCTTAAAAAACCGAAAGGCTACGATTGAAATAAATATCGTTCCCTACGAAATCTCGAAGATTATTACTCAGAAACTGAGAACGCGACTCAAAGAGCATCCCTTCAGGAATAGCCGCTGTAGATTTTTAATTGAATTCCCTGTCATCAATTGTTCATTTTCAATCCACTGCTTCTAATGCTATAATTAATTGCAGTAGCAGTCAACAAGAATCACCTTAAAAAGAAAGGCAATATGGCTCGGCCCGACAACCATTTGAATGATATTGCTGGCTTCGATCTCAGAAAGGGCATACGTCGTGACTGCACCATAACGATTTCGTGAACTTGCTGCCGTTTTCACTCTGAACAAAATCAGCCATTTAATCATTTGCATGAGTAGGTAGTCTTGAGTTGTGCGGTGCTCAGCACCTTTTTTTGTGATTTTTTTTTCAAGTTCTAGTCTTTTATCTTGTAATTCAATCAGCATGGTTATATCCCTTTCTCGATCTGACTGCATTAATCCTGTTTTGGATTCAACTGATATTCTTTGTATCCTCAAGTATGCATAGCAATACTTTTCAACAAAGAATCTTACCTATTTCAGGGGCGTAATCTTATAGAGATTCTATCATTATTCCTTCAGTGAATCAAAAAAATGAATCTTTCCATCTGGATGAAAACTTGGATATTTTGTTCGGATTCATGAAAGTGTCTTTTATGTCCTTTCTTTTTCTTGGAATGTATTTTCTAAGTATTGGAATTTTCTCTGAAAACTGTGCTTCTGGTAGAGGCATTCTGAATTCTGTACGATATCTTTGCTAGATTCTATTCTATTTTCATCTTGCGATGAATGGAAATTTTCTTTGATGCTTGTACTTTGTTCTGCGTTAATGATTACTATATTTTTGTGCTATTGATTGATTTTTATTTTGCGGGATTTAGTTCCATGGATTCAGTGTAAATTCCTTCTTTTGATAAGACATTTCGATATCTGCGATAAGTATTACTGCAGAGAGCGATCATAATGGTAAATAAATGATCGAGATCAACGAGTTCAATGTAGATCAATAATGAAATGAGATCAGTTTGAATGAAGTCGATCAAATGATCACTTTATGAGTTACTGTAGAGCGATCATAATGGTGATTAAATGACCGAGATCAAGGAGTTCAGTGTAGATCAATAATGAACTGAGATCAGTTTGAATGAAATCGATCACTTCATGAATTTAGAGTGCATGTGGTGGAGAGTAGTTATAGTAGTGCTCTGTGAGATGTGTTTGTTGGTTAACGTGCAAGTGAGAACCATACCTTTCCAGTAGTGACTGATCATTGCCAGGCAGTGGCTGTGCGAACACAAATAACTGTTTCTGATCGTCCATTTGTCTTCTGAAATTTATTTATTAAATTCTATTCGTTCGCGAACGAAGTTTCATTTTGAATTCAACAATGAAACTGACACGGCCAAGTGCACTTCAGAATTCGACAGAAAAAAACGGAACGAAAAGCACACGTGGTTATGAGTTCGAACTAATGATTGGTTGGCTGATTGTGCTTTAATGATGGTACAACGTTACGGAACAACTACAACCCGACGGGATTTAGCAACTGCACAAGAATGCTAACTGCTTACGATCAATGAAAGTGGACTGAGTAGGATGATAAGTGTGAGTGGTTGGACTGAGCACTGATTGCATGCAAATTTTGAACATGAGTGATGAGTTCGATCTCTTCGCTCATCCTTGCATTACTTTAAGCGCACAACATCAAGAACGCACTCATGAAAACAGCACATGCTCATCGTATTGATTGGTTTAATGCAAACGTATAAACATCGGGGAATGATACCATCGCTTTACTTAGTATGATTGCAAGCGGTAACAGTTACTGTTGCTTGCTAATATCACACATTCTAGTCTAGGAGCATTTTATGGATTCATTTCATTTCCTGAACATCCAGCTCTCAATGGATGATCATTCATAGTACAAAATCGAATCGAACGTCAGAGAAGGAAGTGTGAATAGCAAAAAGAACACACGCAAAGTCCATTTCACATCGCCATTTTATCTGTTGCACATCTCCCATGACGATGTCGAATATCGAAATGACATTGATTCTACTTTAATCATTTGCATAACATATCCCCTTGAATGCTGCTTTAGCCCAACCTGATAGTTTACAGAGAAACACTTTGATCTGATTCAATCAAAGTAATGAATTTTTTGGAATATTTCAAAAAAAAATCCAAACTTTTCAAAGCATTTTTAATTAGCGCTATAACACAGCACTACGGAGAACAAAAGGTTACGGCGTCGTCGCAATTGGCCATAGAGCGCAAGGGCGGAGTTACAGAAGAGCATGCGCAATTGTGATTGTGACTAAGCGCTTGAATCATAGAAACTTATATCAAATGTTCACCGGAATTGGATGAAATCTGCTACAATTTTGGAAAGAAGTCAATCTGAAACTGTTTCGAATTGATTCTGAAAGAAAGAACGTAGCAGTGGTCCGGGCTCATTCTGAATGGATATACAGTGCGTTTTTATGGACGGAATCTTTGTTAGAAATATCAACCATCGTTTCCTAATTGTTGATCATTTCTTGATTTCACAAATTTTTATTTCATTGGCTTCACATTTTTTCTTTATCTTTGGATAGATACTTCGTAGAGTTCCCTCCTTTTCTCTAATGACTGTTCTCTGTTCAGTTCACTTCCCCGCGATGCCGTCGTCACTCCACCCCCCTCCCGTCGACACGCTCGTATGGCAAACTGCGTATATCAATTCAAGAGTAAACGGCTTTGAGTGGTGCTCAGAAAGGTGCTCATACGGTGATGCGATGGAGGAAACTCGCCATTGCAATCAGTCATTGCGAGATCCGAGTAATTTTAAACATCATCTGAAAACGCGATGCAAAGTAGTCTAATGATTAAGCCTGAACCTAAGCTTAAGCTCAAATCTGGCTTAAGCCAGAGTGTGTGTGTGTGTGTATGCATAAGTTGCTCAGCATCAATTGAAGAATGCTCTGGTTATCACCATTAGCTCTTAAAGAA